TGTAACAAGGGACGGGTCATCGACAAGCGCATATTTCAACTCAAAACCTATAGACTATTCAGTTACGAAATCGCCTACCTCATGCGAGCTTAAGTCTACGACTTCTCCCCTTTCGGTTCAAATATTCGCTAATTTAACTAGAAGGTGATTAATCAACTAGTCATATAGAATCGACAAAACCAAACTCAACAATTAAATATCTAATCGTTACCAATCACAAGATCGAAGTGTCACCCTTCGATTATATCGAACTATCAAGCACAATTTCATCAATTCAGAATTAAATCAACTCACACAAGTATGAACGATTCCAGCCCGAGAGATACAATTCAAACAAGAATAACCATTTCCCTATCCCCAACGGCGGATCCATGACATTTATGTAATGGGGGCCCACGATACTATGGCTCTAATCCCTTCTCCCAATACACCGTCTCGGCCCTCCTCTAACATGAATTGTTCTTAAGCATCTTCAATATTGTTCTTTAGCATCTTCAATTTGTTGGGGGCCTGTGACCCCAACAAACTAGGCTGGATCCGCCAGTGACTGGGCCGTTTTCTGGGCATCCAACCCAGAACGAAATGAAAAACTGTACAAAGAAGCCTTTAAGTTGGGCCATTGGCCCATAACAGTTGTGAAACAGAAAAAAAAAAAACACGCGGGAATAGGGAAAAGCTACTGATTAGGCCACGTGGAAGGCCGATAGTCAACGTCGCGTAGTCCAGAATCGAGTGCGACGTGCAAACCAAGTCCTGCCACGTGGGCCCCACAAAATTCAGATCTCAGCCGTCGATCTCTTTGCTCCATCGACGGCTTATGTAATGGCGAATGGTGTGCCTCTCTTTGCTGGTCGTTTTCTGCTGAGATCAGATCACAAACAATTATTACAAGATGTGTGGAATTTTCAAATTAAAATAAGTTACTTCTAAAGACTAGGACAAGGATCTCTTGATTTAACGAACTTTAATTTAATGAAATTTATGTTTGTAAATAGAGAGACGGTTAATCGAAAATTTGCTTCCGTTCGGGGGAAACTAAAACTCGACTTGTTCGCTTATTTAACCAAGTCAAACTCCGTCAGGTAATTGAGTTAGTTTATTAAACAAATCGAGCTTGTTTGCGAACAATTTGTTTTATTTTCTACAGGTTTAAAAATACACTTGAGCCGAGCATTCTTTTTTCGCATACACACAAATTGTATCCCCGAACAGCTCGTTAACGATTTTCCGTTTGTAAAGCGAGACGAGACAGGCTTAAAAGAGCAAACTCAAGCCATAACTTTGGTTTGTCTTCGTCGGCTTGTTTACTAAACGATCATTATCCTAACATAAGATGATTGACTCAAACTCATATCAATTAACATCTCAATGTGTTGGTATGGCTCATATATTGACAAAGGAAGAGGGCAGGCTGATGCCTGCGAGCGTAACGGAGCGAACGTAGCGAGGGAAGCGGAGCGACCGAGCGAAGTGAGCGGAGTGGATGCCCTTGTTGGGCTTGGTCGATTAGTTGGGCCGGGGGTGCGGGGGTGGAGTCCCCGCGGTATTAATTTAAGTAAATTTAAGTAAATTTATACCTTGTAGGGTTTTAGTATAAATACATGGTGTATTGATGTATTTGAGACGATTGAGAATAATAAAAAGATCCCTCAGCCGCCGTGGACGTAGGCACATTGCCGAACCACGTAAATCTTGTGTTGTTTACTTTTCTCGTTTTTTAATTCGTGTGTCATATTGTCATCTTCTCTCAACACAATGTCTAAAAACTAACACATTCAAGTTTGATGGCAACAACACAACTTATTTTGCAGGTTAAATTAACTTGATATGAAATGCAAAAATATATATAAAAATCAATAAGGTCATGTTTGGTAAGCCGAACTTTTTTAAAAAAATTGAGCTTATCTCGTAAGCTTATCTGACTAATTTTTTAAATATGTTCGTTGAATTTTTTATTTCATTTAGCTTATCAGCTAATTTTACCGAACACTCTTATCATATAAGCTATAAATTCAAAAAATAATTTATCAGCTATCAACTAGATTATCAACTAATTTTACCAAATATGCATAGCCTAAACTTAATTTGATCCACAACAATTTCAACTATATAAAGGCGTATTTTATTCTTTACGCGTACATGGAAATATCGATGATTTTTACCCTGTTTGTTAAGAAAAAAAACAGATCGTGATATGTTTTCCTGTGTTGCTTAAAGAGGAAATATGAATTCTGATTATGTTAGTTATATTTATTTTATTTCTGAAAAAAAAAAGTTATATTTATTTTATTATATATTTATATTAAGAGTATTTTATTATATTAAGAGTTGTAATTGCACTTTGACTTTTCCCAGTATATAAAAAAATATATATTGGGCGTTCAAATTACTCAAAGAACCCACCGCCACCAATTTGCCTTTGAGTAGCTTTGGTTCTATTGACCAACACGAAGCCCCAAAATATTTGATAAAAAGCCCGAAAATGATAGAAGCAAAATGAACAACTTTGCTTTGAGATTACTTTTTCCACATATTTGGCATATTATATATGTTTTTTAGGGCATGTTTGTTTATAGATTTTTTCGGTTTTGATTGGTTTTTTTTTTTTTTTTTTTTTT